ATGATGAAGAAGAGGATGAGGATGATGAAGAAAGAAGAAGAGGATGAAGAAGAAGAAGAAGATGAGGATGAAGAAGAGAAGAGGATGAGGATGAAGGAGAAGAGAAGAAGAAGAAGAAGAGGATGAGGATGAGGAGAAGAAAGAGGATGAGGATGAAGAAGAAGAGATGAGGATGAAGGATGATGAAGAAGAAGAAGAGGATGAGGATGAAGAAGAAGAGGATGAGGATGAGGATGAAGAAGAAGAGGATGAGGATGAAGGATGATGAGGAGAAGAAGAAGAAGTAGGAATAAAAAATAAGAAGAATTCCAGTCCAGCAAAAAGTGTCCCTGCAGAGAGCTCCGCTATTTCTTTGACAGTTCTTTGACATTTACAGCGGTTGCAACATTGTATCTATTTGTTTCCGAATAAAAACATCTGTATCCTAAATGGAAACAAATAGATACAATGTTGCAACCGCTGTAAATGTCAAGGAACTGTCAAAGAAATAGCAGAGCTCTCTGCAGGGACACTTTTTGCCGGCTCTAGACGGGATGAAAATCGGCCGATTTTTTTTACCATTGATGGTAACGTCGGCCGCTTGAACGACCGATTTTTCGTTTTTTAAAAGAAAAATCTGCCGTTTTTCTCCCCATCTATGGCCTGCATTAGGCTACTCACACCGATCCACCACAAAAATGCCTCAAAAATGCATAGGCGTTTTTACAGCGTTATTGCCGCATTTTTTAAAGGACAGGCGACTTGAAACTGCACAAAAAAAATGCTTCTCAGAGGCATCTGAGGCATTTTTCAGTGTTTTTCAGGCGTTTTCCATTGATTTCAATAGGAAGAGGTGTTTTGGGGACTTTTTTTTAACTACCAAAACATGCCCCAAAGATGCTGCAAGCAGGAGTTTTTACACCGCACGGCAAGTGCAACGACTCAGTGTGAAAACATACATACTGTAGATATACATTCACATACATAGGGAATCAGTTTTCTTGAGCTTTTCAGATGCTTTTTTATAGCAAAAACGCTTGAAAAACTCCTCAGTGTGAAAGTAGCCTAACAAGCCAGGCCAGTACAAATACCCCCAAATGACCCCTTTGTGGAAAGTATACACTGAGGCAAGAGGCTTGCTATTGGGGGCACTCGGCGGGGAGGAGGAGCCAGGACCACCAGGGGGTTCCAAAAAAGAAGAGAATTGGGGATGCTTTGTGCAAAACCATTGCACAGAACAGGTAAGAATAACATATTTGTTATTTTTTTTTTTTTTTTAGATTACAACCTTTAGAACTGCTTTAATGTTTTCGATGACAAGGCTCACAAGTTAGTGTATTTTTGGGGATCCTTAATGTCAGTGTGCCATAAATTATGTCCCTTTAAATGGAAATGTAGTGTAGCAGAAGGTAGGCAGCTCTTGTCACAATGTGCAAGTATTTAGATCAGACATACAAACAGTAAGTGGCATGCAACAAAAGACACAGAGAGTAAATCAAAAGAAAGCAAAGAGGAGATGCTAGGTAGGATTAGTGCTAGTGAGCCAGATCAGTAAGGGAAGTCATTTGAATGGAAGGAGGTGCAAAGGACAATGCAGATACTGTAAATGTAAAGGACATCTGGTAGCTTATGACCATATCTGCTGCCCTAAATGCAGATGCAATCCCTAACTAAATTACATTTAGTTTGCCAAAACACTGTGTATCATAAAAAATAATGTTTTTTTTTAATAAAACACTTTTTTCACCATTTTTTTTTATCTACTGTTGCATCTCAGTGCTCCTGATCATCTACAGCAGTGGTTCTCAACCTGTGGGTCGTCACTTACTTCTACATGCATGTGCTCCAGCAGTAGCTTCATTGCCTTGCTGAGGGTGGGCTTTCTGACCATGGATCATGCCTGCATAATGTGTGTTGTCTCCATTGGAAGCCTGTGTGATAGGTTAACAATATAGGAGCACAATTGGGAGACAGGGGAGAGAGTATTGTGGCCTTAACATAGAATGTGCCTAAAAAAGACTACCTGGTATTATTCTGAAGAAAGCTTCAGACTGAAAATGATTGCAAACCGCACTGGCCATAGGGTACATTGGTTGGGCTGGGGCTGCCCAGTCCATGGCCTGTTGATGACCAGACCACACAGCGGGAGGTAATAGGCCGACCGCGGTTGCCGCTCACCTCCCTCTATCTGGCCATGCCTGTGTCTGCTCTCCCATCCTGCCAATTATGTAATTGGGGATCAGCAGGTGGGGTGGGTGTGGCCACACCACCTGGAGCTCCAGACTGACGTCCCTCCCTTCCAATGGCCATTGACACCTCTGTGTAATCGGTTAATAGCTCATAACAGACTCCATCAGAAGTGACCATGAGGCACCTTAATAAAAAAAGCTCCTCTACTGCCAGATCCAGCAATGTCTCCTCTCTACTTCATGGAACTTCCTGTCTGTACCTTCTGATGGAGTCTGCTGTGAGGAAAGAGTGAAGGAGGCTATCACAGAGTTTACCATTTTGGGTGCTTGTTTGCCAGAGATTTCTGGTGCGTGCATAGGGGTGAAGGTCCCATGGAAGAGGTGTCACTACTGGATTGTTGTCACTGATTTTATCATCAACAGTTAATGGACTTTATTATTTATTACTCACTTTGCACTTTTTCACTTTTTGGTGCATATTGATGTATATTACTACTAACATTGTATACCTCACGGTTTTTAGTGTTATTATGTGATACACTTGTATTTTGTGATTGAGTATTGGAATACACAATTTATATGTAGCACTTTTAGCACTGCACAATTTGTTGTTTATTTTTTCATTGGGGTTGGTCACCTTTTATTGCTAGCAGTTTTTTTTTCTATTATCTCCAATCGCTCACTACACTCCGTTTATATCTTGTTACAATGACATCTGAAAGTCAGTGGGATATTTTAGGCAGCAAGTAAACTTGTTGTTCCTGAAGCTGATGTGTTGAAAGTAGAAAAAAAATGGGCATTGCAGTTTGTTGTGTATGGGGCTGTGTAGCCGTAGACCAGTCAAGTTGGCCATGGTGACTATTGTTCACAGCCAAAAATGCCTACAATGGCTATGTGAGCATCAGAACTGGACCACAGAGCAATGGAAGAAGGTGGTCTGGTCTGATGAATCACATTTTGTTTTACATAATGTGGATGGCCAGGTTTTTGTGTGCATTGCTTACCTGGCAAAGAGATGGCACCAGGATACAGTATGGGAAGAAGGCAAGCCATTGGAGACAGTGTGATGTTTTCATCAATGTTTTGCTGGAAAAACTTGAGTCCTGCCATTCTTGCAGATGTTGCATTGACACATACCACCTGCCAAAACATTGTCACTGACCAAATATACCCTTTCATGAAAATTCCCTGATTGCAGTGGCCTCTTTCAGCAGGATAATGTGCACTGCCACACTGCAAAAATGCTTCAAGAATGGTGTGAGGAACACAACAAGGCGTTTGAAGTGTTGACTTACCCACCAAATTCTCTAGATCTCAATCCAATAGAGAATCTGTGGGATGTCATGGAAAAAACAGTCAAATCCACAGAGGACCCACCTCACAAGTTACAGGACTTAAAGGATCTGCTACTGATGGCTTGGGACCAGATACCACAGCATACCTTCAGAGGTCTAGTGGCATCCATGCCTTGATAGGTCAGGGCTGTTTTGGTGGGCTAAAGGGTATCCTATTCAATATTAGGTGGATGGACATAAAGGCAAGGCTGATCTGTGTATATGTATTTGTATGTAGTAATTGCTTTTAATATTAGGACCCCAGCAATGAGTTATGCAGCACCTTTTCTTTGATGCAGTGACTTTGCGATGCAAACCACTACATTGCAATACAGATATAATGGATTGGACTGATTGAAATGTCACAGATTGCATTTCAATAACGTTTTAGGAAAGAAAGTGAACATCGTGATGCACCAGGATTGGAGCATCATCACTGTTTCCCCCTGTGCACACCAGTTGTCATGCATTCAGCGTGGCTTGCGGGTGTAAATGACCCATTAAAGTTATTGACAGTGTTCTATACAAGCCTATTTAAAGCCAAAATTATCCACAAGCAGTGCTGCTGTCAGTGACCTATGACCTTACCCATCACAGACGGGACTTTTGTATGAATTATTGAACAAATCCTTTTTGAAGTCTTGTTTTGCCTTTAACAGGCCTCAGTAGAGAAAATGCTTTTTGCCTTGATTATATACTTTATTAATCTAGAGAAGGTGACTTTTAGTGTGAGCAAGTGTACTGATATTAAAAAGAACAGGTTGAACAAGATTATTTTCTTAAGTCCTGCCAAGATTGCTGATAGCCTGCAAGCCCTGAAGAAAGATCTGATAGCTGAGAAACTGCAAAAGTTCATCATGCAAAACTTGAGGAACAACTCCGACTTGGCATTACCGGAGAGCTGCCAAGTTCCATCTGCATCTGACATTCTGTTTTGTCAAAGTTTCAGGCAGCTGAGAGAAAGGGCTTTAGCACTGAATGCTCTGATGGACCATAATATGTACTGAGCTGCTTTGCTAGAAATGTTATGATTAAAATTTTTTAGAGGCTTGTTGCTTAACCATTTATATATCTTGTGCAGTTTGGACTTGGCACCTACTGGTAGAATATTTCAAGAAAATGTAAGTTGTTTTTGTACTAGTACTTAAAATCTTTAAGGTATAGCAGCAGTTGAGCGTAGGTCACTTGCTACCATAAGGAGTTTTCATTCTTAAATGCAGGTTATTAAAGTGTTACTAAACCCACAACAGTAAAATCAGTCTGTATATGCAGTAAAGCATACTTGATATACTCATTGTGGAACCTAAGGGGTTAATCCTTTGCATTGGGCAAAATTGATCCTGTTTTCTCTGCTCCTCCTATTGTTCAAATGTCCACGTCTTATCTCCTGATTAGAAAGACTGAACCCGTGTCTATTCTGCACATGCTCAGTTTAGTGTGTATTGCTATAGAGTTGTTTCTTTTTTCTTGGGAAAGTGCATGTGTTCAGCACATGAGGTCAGGGGTTTTGCATCCTCCTAGAGCAGAAAGAAAACTTCTACTACAAGCTTTAACCAGTGCTCTGCTGAGCACTGATAGAAGTCACAAGACTGCTCTAACTGCTGATGAGAAAAGGTATTTAGCAGTTTATAGTTACTAAAATAATTGCATTTCCATGTTCTGTGTACTGTGGGAGACCAGATATAGTGAATGCAGGCTCATGGGTTTAGTAACACTTTAAATCTGTATTAAACCTAATAGCAAACATTTATTATATTGCAGCTTACCAATTCTTAGATACAGTATGATGGTTGCATTTGCTTTTCTTTTATTGCCACATGCTGATCTTGCCGATAAGTCTGTTGTTACTCAACAGAACAAGGTATCCCGCAGTCCTGCAGATGTAGTAGTTAGAGGGTTGAGACAAACCCTTTACCAATAATGGGTCCTTTATATGATCAGCTTTTATTTATTTAGGTGAAACTTATATACCAAAACTGTTGCTGTAACTGCTTAAAAACTATTAGCTGCAGTTTGGCTTCCATGTGTTTAGTATATCTAAGTCTGCTAGTACATCTAACACTCCCCTAACAACAGACTGAAAATGCTGCTCTCCATAGGTGTCTCCGTTGCTCCTTTATCGAGTGTAGACAGGCTAATACAAAAATGATGTTACCGGCCAGACCACCAGGTGAAAACAGAGGGAAAAGCGTAAATCAAGAAAATGAATGCAGTCAGCACATCTTATTTATTGGTAAGTTGCAATATATTACATTTTTGGGTTTAACACAGCTTTAAGTGTAGTAATTAGCATTAACTAGCAATCAATCAAGTGTAACTATTCTTAAGACATAAGAGTAAATTATAATTACAATTGGTTGTACTATATAGTCTACTACACATGGCACTCAAAGGTAAAGTATAGTATATTTTAAGCAATGCAAGTTTTAGGTTTTGTCTTTATCTTTCATCTGTACAAACTTGCTCTTTCAAACCTTTTGTTAGTGTATTAAATATAGTGATTAACCACTTCAATACACTTTTACCCCCTTCCTGCTCAGGCCAATTTTTAGCTTTCAATGTTGTCGCACTTTGAAACAACAATTGTGCGATCATGCAACACTGTACCCATAAAAAAAATTATCTTCTTTTTCACACAAATAGAACTTTCTTTTGGTGGTATTTAATTACCACTGAGTTTTTAATTTTTTGGTAAATAAACAAAAAAAAAACCCAGAAACTCTTGAAAAAAAAAAAGTGGTTTTCTTCATTTCTGTTATAAAATTTTGCAAATAACATTTCTTCATAAATTTAGGTCAAAATGTATTCTGCTACATTTCTTTGGTGAAAATACCCCAAATTAGTACATATTATTTAGTCTGTCCACAAACCATAGTATATGTATCTGACAATCGATCAGTCCTGATGTAATGATAGCCCATCTCATTTCTTGAGGCCTGAAAATGCCAGGATAGTACAAATACCCCCCAAATTACCCATTTTTGTAAAATAAACAGTCCAAGGTATTTAGTAAGAGGCATGGTGAATTTTTTGGAGGTTGTAATATTTTGTTACAATTTTTTGGAAAATGTAGAAATTAATAAAAAAAAAATTATTTTTTTTTACATATTGTCACCAGTCCAGTACAGCGTTATATAATTGGTGTGGTGGTGATCAGGGACATTAGTCATTTAGTAATTTAATGGGTTTTTTTCACTTTTACTATATTTTTTTTTTATTTTCATTACATTATTTTTTTCACAATTTTTTTTCAACACACTGTGACCAAAGCAATACAATTATTACCATAGATTGAACTACTCTGGGCAAGTGATCAGGATTTTTTTTTCACACATTATGATTGCTAATACCAATTTCATTGATATTTGCAATAATTGTTACTGAATGAAACTGATTCATTCAGTCTTTTGCTGTGATTAGCTATGATTGAGCAAAGCTCATCACATGATACATATGAGCTGTGATTGGCCCTGTCTGTACCATGTGACTGCTTTGACCAATCACAGCTAACAACACAATTGTATACAATGGACGGCATGACAGGAAGCCATCTATTGTATACAATTGTCATGTGATCTGCTGTGATTGGTTACAGCAGTCACATTACACTGGCAATGGGCTGGTGTAGTGATATGTCATTGGCTGTGTCCCGCGGACATATCTGATGACAGATCGTGTCACTGCGCCCACGAGGTGTGACGGCCCGGCGGGGAGGTGTTAAACAATAGAAGGAACTTTCAGTGGCAATTGTTCTGTCTGTCTTACACCCCAGTAACACTGGGTGCGACTTGCCATGCAACTTGCAAATCACATGGCAAGTCGCACCCTACTGTCCGCAATTAAAGCGGTCATATCGGTGCGATTCCGAATTGGTCAGATCTACACCGATTTCTAAAGTAGTGCATGCACTACTTCAGATGCAACTTGCCAAGACATCTGTGTCTTGTAAGCCACAGATGTCTTGCGAGTCACACCTCAAGTTGGAATGACATTCCGACATCCGATTTCAAATTCGGATCGGTGTGACTGGGCTGTAAAACTGTTGAGATAAGATTTCACATGCGTAGGGCATTGTTTTCACTGGGTTTGATGAACCATAAGGCCTCATGCACACTGGGCATTTGTGCAGCCACTTTTAGGGGTGTCAGGCATTTTGTTTGCTTCCAACTGCCCCTCCATGTTATTCTATGTGTCCATGCACACATAGACTTTTAGAAGCTTTTATTGGCAGGGGCGTTTACCAGCAGGAAAAAAACCAGGGCCAGTGCATCCAGGAGTAGCAGGGTTTTGGCAGAAAAAAACACTTGACGCATGTAAATGTGGCTAAATGCTTGTTAACACTAGGCACATTTAGCACTTGAGCGTTAATACATTTTAATGGCCAGAATAAATTACTATTCTGACCAATGAAATTGATTAACGCCCAAGCAATTGATGCCTGTAAACACACCTAAATGCTCCTATAAGCGTTAGGCCTCATGTACACATGAACTCACCTAGTCTGCTGCTCTTAAACTCTGGTGAAAGCCTATGTGTACATGGACACATAGGCTTTTATTGAGTTGAGTTGATGAGGTTTTGGCAAAAAAATGCCCTATGTGCATGAGGCTTTAATCAGCATTGTAAAAGGAGCAATAAAGCATACCCATTAATAAAAGCATGAAGAAGAGGGTACAAAAATAAAAAAGCAAATATAGATGTGCCCCCACCCCACACCTTAGAAATTATCGAAAGAAACAAAGCACCATAACAATATTATTTACATCAATGTGAGCATTTTGACATGCTTTTCTATAAATTGGAAAAAAAGTTTTTCCTTTTTAACCACTTCAAGTCCGGACACTTTCACCCCTTCCTGTTCAGGCCAATTTTCAGCTTTCTGTGCTGTCACACTTTGCAACACTGTACCCATATGAATTTTTTTAGCATTTGTTTATACAGATAAAACTTTATTTTGGTGGTATTTATTCACCACTGGGATTTTTATTGTTTTGCTATATAAATTAAAAAGTCCAAACATTTTGAAAAAAAAAAAGTGTTTTTCTTATAGAATTTTGCAAATAAATAATCTTTCTTCATAGATCTTTTCCAAGATGTGTTCAGCTATCTTTTTTAGTAAAAAAAAAAATAACTCAAGTAAGTTTATAACCAAAAATTTTAATTTTTTAAAACATTTTGTTTACATTTTTATTCTATTTTTTTATATGATTATTTATGTTTTTTTATTTTAAACATACTGTCACCCTAGCAGTACAGTTTTACCATAGTGACACTGTAATACTTGTGGGGGGGTGATGAAAATATATATTTTTTTTTACACTGATTGCTTTTACACCCATAAAGGCTGTAAAAGCAATATTTTTTCCTCTCTGGCTGAATTCTTGCAGCCATTGAGAAATACTGTGAGAGCTGTGATTGGTCACAGCTTGTCACATGGTACATGGCTGTTGTGAATAGCCTTGTACCATGTGACCTCTGCGATCATTCACAGCACAAGTTTCACTACTATTCATGTCCCACTGATTGGCCTATCAGTGATCACATGATGGGGATCTCACACAGAGGTCCTTTACAGGTGTTCCGCTGTGTCCGGAGTGTGCACAGGCAGTAAATGCGGAGGCCGTTTATAAACGGCCTCCCGCTCCTGCACTGCTCCTTTCCGGCCATTTATGTACATGGGCCAGACAGGAAGTGTTTAAAAGAACTCTTTATTGATGCCCAATACTGACCCACACTGTGACTTTATCTTGTGACCAAGTGGCATGTACTTAGATTCAGTGAGAACCACACATGACTTGGGTATTGCAGATGTCCCAGCTGCCATGACCCAACACAATTCTAATACCCCCGCAGACCACCATTAGAATAATACACACCAACACCTTTGTTTGAATTTAATAGGCCATAGCAGCCAATTTATTTTAATAACTTCCACAACAAAAAACACATCTTTATATAGCATTATATGTAAACCATAACAAAAAAAACGTAACTAACTGATAACCTGCTGTATCTGCCACCAGCTTCCATATTAAGGCCCCCAGCCGCACATACACCAGCTCGGGGACAACTCCTTACTAAGTTACCTTCTGATACAGCCCAAAAAGTCAGTAACCCCATTTCATTAGTAGGGAGGTACACCCATACCTGAGATGGACACAACCCTTTTTCTCCCAAACTATTAGCATCCTGCCTTCAAAAAAAAAACATGAGACCTCTGCCCACTGTTAAGACAGTACAAAACCCACCTGGAAGTGTTCAACTCATATCCAACATGAACAGCTCAGAACGCAGTAACACTCGAAGCCAACAGAAAGGCAGGCAACAACAGATCGGGAACAACTGTGAAAGTCCAATGACGGGAGGGGCGGGAGAAGCTCATCCGTGATTCAAACCAGCTCACCCTAACTTAACCCCTCCCTGCCACACCCTACCATCCACCAATAGGGTAAGGCTATCTTCTTTAAACCACAGCACTCATTAGTGCAGGCTATAGACAGGTCGAAAATCGGCCATTTTTCGCACCGTTAGTGGGTTAATTGGTTGGCCATTTTTCAGGATTTTGGCACACTTTTTTTTTTATCGGTGAAGTTGGAAAAATTCGGCCGATTTTGCCGATCGGCCGATTTTCCCAGCAATGATGGGCAAATCGGCCAATCTTTTTACGATAAAAAATCTGCGCATGAGCCATGACCTGCAAGAAGAAAAAGAAGAAATAGAAGAAGA